AAGGCATATAGTATATATCACAAGGAGTGAGTGAGTGAGTTTTGTTTTATGCCAATTTTTGCAATATTCCAGCAATATCACGGTGGGGGACACCAGTAGTTGGCTTCACACATTGTACCCATGTGGGGATTGAACCCGGGTATTCGGCGTGACGAGCGAACACTTTAACCACTTGGCTACCCCACCGCCCCTATATATCAAAAGGAACCCAGATAATAAGACTGCCAGATGTTCCAGATACCAGATAGATGCTAAGATGCTATGTGGGATGATCCGTGAGTGCTGACAAGTCCGGGTATAGTTGTGAAGTTTCCAGGTTAATAAAGGCTGTATATTAAAAATGTGGAGCATCCTGCGTTAGTACTTAATTCTTCCTAGTGCCGTAGTTGCAGGCGAAGTAGTATCATTGTCCTTGGTTAATAGGCCTGGCTGTACAGCATGTCAGTGGGGTAGGCAAGGTCGCTGCACAAGAAAGACAAAATTTGTTGTAAATTGATTTGGCATGCAGGATTTATCTTGTATGGAGCTCATTACAAGCCTCAAGTCAAATGGAGAAATAGTGAATCTTGTAAAGCCTGGCCACAGGATGTGGAACTCTGATTAGAAATGGGTGCACTTTCTGAATCCCTTCTCCGATAATTAACGTGTCACTCTATGGCTGCCTCTAATTAAGGAGTTTGGTGAACCTCTTCCTCGAGGAAGGATTATAAATGGGGGCTTATAGTGTCTTAAGTGATTGGAATAGCCTGTTCTGTAGCTGTTCACCCACCCACCCCTGCAGGAATTAATGGATTGCTCCACATCAAAAGGATAAAGATTCCATAGGAGATTTTGGGTTAAAAGGTGAATTTTAATGACAAATTAGCATGGTGTCTTTAATGGTCAAAATGGAAGGCTTAAGGTTTGACATACGTGGAATGTTCAGGATACTTTTTGGGTAGCTTTTAACATTAAGATACAAACATTACCATCATTTAGTTCTGATGATCTGATATTGCAAACATGCAATCAGGTTTCATATTGAGCTGCCATCATAATATTAATGTATGAAAAAACATTTGGGTATTTAATAAAATTGATTTGTCATATAAAATAAAATGCTTGAGCAGTGATGCTTGAATTTAGCTTTATTCATGTGATAGCATGCCCTGCACATAGAAACAAAAATGATGCATTAAATATGATGTTTATTCAATGGGACATTGGGAACTGTGAACTCATCTTACCATAGAGACTGTACCTTGAAATCACAGGATAGAAAATCTTATTTGGTCATATGCAATATTAATGACCCTCATACTTTGAAATGTGTCTCCGTGGTGATTGATTGCTTTGTAACTGACAGAGAAAATGCATATTTTTTATTGATGTCAAATGGCAGTCGTCGTTTTGAGTCAACATCACTGTTTGATTTTTCTGCCCAGAACGTGAGGAAGTAAGGACATTTTCCACAGGTTCCCAGTGTATGGCCTGAACACTTAGTTCATTAGGTCACCCTCTTTGATGTCTGAAATTTCGTTATTGATGAGATTGAGGAAGCCTAATACAACTATCCTGGCAGTATTTTGTTAAAGGGTGTGCAAAGATAGGAATTATGACATTAATATTCCATGAGCAAAGTCTTGTCATGGCCTTTGTCTTGCGTCAGGTTGCAAATACTCCAGTTCTTTAGCCACAGCATTCAATCGTTTACATTCCAGAGATTCAGTTGGAAGCTGGCTTTTAGCTTTTCCTGCCTTTTCTTTGAGTTAGCTGAGCATTAAAGGATGGAGGAAATGTACATTTTGTAAAGGTGCTTCATTATGTTTTTGCTGATCATGTTGTTCCAGGATGATCAACTCTGGGACGTTACAATTATGATCCACACTCAGCTTCATGTTCTTCTCAGACCCTAAGAAAGCAATCTTGTTCAAAGTTGCTCACAGAAAAGTAGATTTTGTTTGAGTTACATGACCAAACATGTTGTCAAATGTTCCATGTAATTTTTCTGAAAATACAAGACAGATGTGATGTAGTTTTAGTACGTACTGGTTGAATTTATGTTTTGGTTTTAATGAAACCATGACTATGGAACAATGAAAGAAGCTTGCACAACATGAAGAGAAGGAGGAATCTGGTTTTAACGTTGCACTTTCAGTTTGTTTAACAATTTTGTCCCTCCTCCTCAATACAGTGAAGCACAACAGGTAGTTGTCATTCATTGCTTTGAATGGATGGTATTCAGCCACTGAAAGGCTGGAATGGAAATCTTTTTCCTTCAAATGCCAAGTATGTCATTTGGGGAGATTGTTTTTGTTTAACACTGAAACTATGCTTTCACTTTTCACGTATCAAGCATGTGAGAAAAAGTTTGCAAGATGTTTGAATTTGGAGGATTCCTGTTGAAATCATACACCTAAGGGAGGCAACTGATGGAGGTGATAAGTCTGTTCTGAAACGGCATCCCTTTAGAAAGTGTTTTGTTGAGAATAAGCCAACAGATAGGCTTTTTACAAAGTGGGAAAATGAAGAATTCTAGAAAATCCCTTTCCCAATATCTGCAGTCTTGAGACAAAATTTCTCTGCATATATTCGATCCATGCTTTTTGTTAGAAGTTTTTTGAAAATCTAATTCCCATGTCTTCGGTTGGAGGTGCCATAGGTCATGACCTCGTGGCTGGATTCCCATCAGGTTTCCATGGTAACCAGATTGGGGGACAAATTAGATTTTTACTGGAAATATGTATTCTTATTAGATTAGGCAGTTCTTGATAAAATACAAGTATTCATAAAGAAAATAGCTATCACGATTGAGGTGGTAAACTTGTCACAAACACGCAGAACTTCGCCATCCTCTTAGTCAGCAGTTTAAAGGCAGTGTTCCAGATCTCTGCAGATTTCCCTGTCCATCATTCTGGTTTCCAATAAGGACATCAATGCTACTATGCCTTGATGATTATAGCTGTTTGAACATATTCTCATTGTTGCAATTACTATTTATTGGAGAGTCTATAATAACGTTCATTTCAGCAGTGTATATATTGCTGTCTGTCAAGGTGTATTTACGACAAGATCTCATCCCTAGACTTACGCGTACCAGTATAACTTAACACTTTCTCTCAATTGTTTCTAAGACAAATTATCTTGATAATTATAGCTTAACGCTTTCTCTCAATAGTTTCTGAGACAAATCATCTAAGACATAATGGAGAACATTTTCTTGTAGTCTTGCCTCTGTGTTCAGGCCCCAAGTATTTCAGTTTTTTTATTTAGCCTCAAATATAAAAACTTTTTTGAAATAAGGTCAATAATCCAGCGGTTCTGTCCAGCAGATACTGAGATGAAGGATCTAATTACATGTGCTTTTTCCAAGACGACCTAATACTTCATTCTATGTGTGAAAAACCAAACATAAGTCTTCCATTTGTTGAATGTTTGATTGAATCTAGTGTGATGATGGAAGAATGTGGACAGGCAGAGAAAAGCAAGCCATCTAGATCTAGAAGATGCCACCTGAAAAAGTCTTTTTCAAATAAGATCTCGAAGCTGCCGGCACAAATGAATGGTTGCCGAACAGTGTGAATAAAGGCTGTTGAATTCGACTGGATGGCTTTGGAACAAATGAATTTTTTTGTAATGCCAAAGTGTGAATTGAAGACGTATTTGTCAAGGCAAATTGGTTGCCTTTAGACTACATGAATGGTGTATCTACAGCCCAAAGTTAGAAATAATTGTATTGTGTTAAAATGGATAATGCATGATACTGTCAAATGTAGCTAAGATCAAATTTAAACTGACACTCACTGGGAATGAGGCGAGCAAATCTAGTTTATTTCCTCAATATTTTGATAGTCTATGGTGAGGGCTACACATTTAAGTGTGGTGCTGTTCTAGAGACGATGTACCATGGCTGTAAATAAGCTGATTCCTGTCAACACCCAGTAGAGAAATTCATGAGGTCACCAACACCAGTATGTAATGTTGCACTGTGTGACATCACTTCAGGATCCAGTTGTTGGCAGCATTAGGGTTTGGTTTCTCCCAAATTGGTGTGAGAAATTAGATTTGCTTATACACAAGATCAAGGTTTGGCAAGCCATCGTTGACGTAATTTATATCTGTTGTAATGGCATCCTACAGTGTAATCTCCTAGTGTTGTGGAACCCACCAAATTGAGACTGCAAATGGAAAACATGAAAGACAGAATTAATCTGAAACCAGCTTAAATAAACTGTCTTGAAATGGTTGTTTTTCTGGGAACATTTAATTTCTTCAGACCTTGTGCGAAATGGAAGATAGATGCAAGATGTTGTTAAATGTGTACCCATAAGACTTGATATTGTGTAGGAGGACGTTTTTAGCAATATGAATGGTGGAAAATAGTTTAAAACTTATTACTTATGTCATAAAAATCTTGTTAGTGTATTGAATAAAAGGAGAGAACAGAGAGAATTCTCATGTGATGCGACGATTTCTTAAATATCTGAATACCAGCCAGCACCTGGCTCCTGGGTCATCCATCAACTCATCCAGTTCTACCATAGGTCCTTTATCAACAAGTATGCCTGGTTTGCACACAAGCAAACTCTCATATTGACAGCTGTCATTGTGACACATATGTCATTCTGACACATCACTCATACTGCTGCTCGTTTCCTGTTGGTCATCTGGATCTGTCCCGCAAGGAAGGGATGTGATTCTATGAATGAAAACTGTCAGATTCAATCAGACATTTTAGATTTCCCCTTGCTGTTCCTGGTTCCCTGTAGAGTTGAATGACTAGTGGTAGTCATCTCCTGATATTGAAGGATGATCATAGCAATATTCAACTGACTGACTCCTAGTTGGTGTATGTAATATGAATGAGGATTGAATGAATACTTCCTTAGCTGCTGCATCTGCTGACTCAATAAATGATTCATTGTAATCGAACTGCTGTGTTATGTAATACTACATACATACAGAAAATTATGTATTAACCCCAAAGAGTAAGGCTTTCAATGTTGTTGTTGTTGTTTCAGAACCAGGTGGCGCTGAAGAAAGACAACAAGTATGTTGTTCTGACATTCATCCTGGTTGGCTCCATCGCTGGCATCCTCCTTGCCGTTGTCGTCATCTACATCATCAAGCGCCACACCCGCTCCAAGGAAAAACTGGCTCAGCTATCAGCAACAGGCGAAGGAAACGAGGCATCCAAGGACTACCAGGTATGGCCAGCAACAATTCTTGGCTTCCTCGATCAGGAGTGAGTGAGTTAGTTTTACGCCGCTCTTAGCAACATTTCAGCAATATCATGGCGGGGGACACCAGAAATGGGCTTCACACATTGTACCCATGTGGAGAATCGAACCCGGGTGTACAGCGTGACGAGCGAATGCTAAGTCAGGAAATGTTAAACCACAATGGCTCCCATGATCGTAACTCCTGTACTTTAACTTACACCAGTGATAGTCAGGGCACTCACATCACTTTGTGGAAGAGGCATCAGAAATAAGTTTAAAGGGATGCAATGTTTTGTGTTGTACAGTATAAAGTAAATGTTCCAGCTTTAATGTTGTCATGCAAAGGCCTGGAATATGATATTATTAAATATTAATAAGGGCATGGTTGCTATCAAATGTAAATGAGTTGTCAGCCTACCCAGAAAAACAACACAAATAATTCCTGCTGCCTTGATAATTCTGAAGATGAGCTAGCTAGAGAAATATTTTGCATATGATTTTTCATCCTCATCAGACACAACAATTACTAAAGGTCCTCATCAGCTCATTGCTTAGCAGATTTATAGACAAGTTCCAAATTGTTTTTTATATCAACACCCAAATATTTGAAAAAAGCTACAATGTACTGATAACTGTCAGAAACATCGTCAAGAATATTTTTGACGAGTGAGTGAATTTTAGGCCACTTTTAGCAATATTCCAGCAATATCATGGCAGGGGACACCAGAAATGGGCTTCACACATTGTACCCATGCAGGAAAACAAACCCAAGTCTTTGGTGTGACGAGCAAATACTTTAACCACTAGGCTACCCCACCGCCCCGAATATTTTTAAGACCTGGGGTTATGTGTAAGTACATAAATATAGAAGGTGCTAAAGATGAGTGTTCTAACAGCTGAAATGGTGGTGTACAATACTTGGTTTCTACAACAGGACTTATGTCGTCAGCGTATGCAGAGCAAGTCTTCAGAGAAGCCAGAGCCACTCCATGCCGCCTCCCGAATTGGCAGTGTGTCCGAGTCCCAGGTCCGTAGCCCTTCCAGCCGGAGCAGTACATCATCCTGGTGAGTTCACAGACATGGCGAGATAGTAGACAGGAAGTAACATTACTGGGAAAACTACTTTCAATGAAAACACATCTTGAGTTAAATCCACTCACTCAGTTTGTTAGCCATGCTAGCTGAACATGCCAAACCTTGCCTCAGGAAGGTTAGGATTTCTCTTATCATATTTTGTGATATTTTTACGTCGAGATTTGGAATGTGGTGTTCTTGATAGAGAAATGTTTTCCGTAAAAGAACATACAAATCTGCTGATACAAGAAAGACTGTATAAAGCTTTCACACACAATCATAGTCAGGCTGGATTTTGATTTTTGTGGATTTTGCTAATTGAAATGGTTTATGTCCATGCTCATATAATTGTGTGTTGTTCGTTGCCTGTGATGGTTCATGTTTGGGTATGGGGCAATAAAGACTACCACTGGGATGGAAAGTGTTCATGTGTAATGAATATATAAGTCACTGCATAGTCTTAAAAACACAGGCACACACACACACACACATGCATGCACACACACATATAGTTTGATATGGTATATGGTCTGTTTCTATATTTGCAAATGTGCTCAACAGAACATATTGCTGCCTTAAAATGATAAGTAGATAACAATATGAATATCATGCTCCAAAAACAATATAGATATGACAAAACCTAAACCAGATGTTGCTATCTACAAAAGAATATATGTTTAATAAAATATTTCATGTATCTGTGAGATGAAAAAGATATGTGTTGCAAAAGTGTGTTTTTAATTTCTTTGAACAAGAACAATGAAAACATAAATTCCATAACAACTTTTCTCAAAATCAGCATTTCTATAGGTACATAAAGGTATATGGCCGGTGTGACACAATGTAGCAGGATAACAGAAATAATATAGTTGGGCAAGACAACTTCAGGCACATACGTGTCATGATGAAGTGGCACAACTGCTGTATCCCCCCACCAGTATCCACTCACCAGTATCCACTCACCACTATTCACCCACCAGTATCCCCCTACTACTACCCATTCACCACTATTAACCCACCAGTATCCACTCACCAGTATCAACTCACCACTATTAACCCACCAGTATCCACTCACCAGTATCCGCTCACCACTATTAACCCACCAGTATCCACTCACCAGTATCCACTCACCACTATTAACCCACCAGTATCCACTCACCACTATTCACCCACCAGTATCCCCCTACTACTACCCATTCACCACTATTAACCCACCAGTATCCACTCACCAGTATCAACTCACCACTATTAACCCACCAGTATCCACTCACCAGTATCCGCACCACTATTAACCCACCAGTATCCACTCACCAGTATCCACTCACCACTATTAACCCACCAGTATCCACTCACCACTATTCACCCACCAGTATCCCCCTACTACTACCCATTCACCACTATTCACCCACCAGTATCCACTCACCAGTATCAACTCACCACTATTAACCCACCAGTATCCACTCACCAGTATCCGCTCACCACTATTAACCCACCAGTATCCACTCACCAGTATCCACTCACCACTATTCACCCACCAGTATCCACATCTTACTTTTCGTCCACCAGTATCCACTCACCAATATTCACCCACCAGTATCCACTCACCACTATTCACCCACCAGTATCCGCTCACCACTATTCACCCACCAGTATCCACTCACCACTATTCACCCACCAGTATCCGCTCACCACTATTTACCCACCAGTATCCGCTCACCACTATTCACACACCAGTATCCATTGGCCACTATTCACCCACCAATATCCACATCTTACTAGTCTTCCACCAGTATCCACTCACCAATATTCACCTACCAGTATCCACTCACCACTATTCACCCACCAGTATCCGCTCACCACTATTCACCCACCAGTATCCACTCACCACTATTCATCCACCAGTATCCGCTCACCACTATTCACCCACCAGTATCCGCTCACCACTATTTACCCACCAGTATCCACTCACCACTATTCACACACCAGTATCCATTTGCCACTATTCACCCACCAGTATCCACATCTTACTATTCGTCCACCAGTATCAACTCACCAATATTCACCTACCAGTATCCATTCACCACTATTCACCCACCACCATCCACTCACCAATATTCACACACCAGTATCCACTCACCACTATTCATCCACCAGTATACACTCACCACTATTCACCAACCAGTATCCATTCACCACTATCCACCCACCAGTATCCACTCACCACTATTCACCCACCAGTATCCATTCACTACTATTCACCTGCCAGTATTTGTACACCACTATTCATACACCATTATCCACGCACCACCATACACACACTACTCTCCACACACCACTATTAACACACCACTATCCACCTACCACTATTTACACACCACTATCCACCTACCACTATTCACCCACCAGTATACATGCATAGATCTGACATTTACCCATCAATATTCACCTGCCACTATTCACCCACCAGTATTCATTGTTTTTTACCCATCAACATCCATCCAACTGTAATCACCCATCGGTATCCACTCACCACTATTCACCCAGTGGTCATTGGTATTCACTTCTGTTCTATCTTGTGTTTTGACACCAATCCACACACTGATTCAACAGATTGAAACCTTCATTCAAGAAATAGAAATGGAAAATCCCTCTCTGGAATGCTCAAACATTAGCAGGGCAGACTAAAGCCCACATTTGTGCCTGTCATGATTGTCTACAGATGCCATCCTGCCAGCAGAAAACCAAAACTAAATCTTTGGATTTTTTTCCCCTTTTGGCAAGATTGATCAGCCATTGTGACCAAGTCATTTCCCTCGATTAATCACCCAATGAATGAATATGTTATCTTTCATCAGTTTGTGCTCCTGAACCCACCATGTCAGACCGGGGAGTTATTACATCATATTATCATACAATTAATGGTGTCCTCTACTGGGCCATGTTGGTTGTGGTTATTAATGTATAATTTAGCAGCCCCTGGGACAAGCAACAGAGCTAGGAGCAGCACTCCAACCTCTTTGAATCAGCCATCACCATGGCTACTTGGTTTTCATTGAATTAATTTATCATTCACATTACAATAGTCGAGACCAAAATGGTTGACAGATTTGTAATCCAGGGATATAAATAATGTTTTGTGTGATTCGCTGAGTTGCAGAGGTATATTTTTGTGGCGAAATGTGTCACATCACTATGTGAGCGAGTTTTCTTCTGTTTGGGTTCAGTGTTCAGTGGTTCTTGACATGATGTTGTTACATTTACTGGCAGACATAGAGCGTGTTACTGCATGTACAGGTTGTTCTCTGGACACCATTGTTCAACTGGACACTTTGGCTGCCAGAACTATACTTTGGCTGCCAGTACTACAGGTATCTCAGTTACGGAGACACACAAATGACATCTCTGAGTGTAGAGGAGGAATGAAGAGTCCTCAGTGATGCCTGGATGCATTGAATCTGGGTTTCAAACCCTGATCCTCAGTCTGCCAGCATCAAGGTATTGCTTGCCGGATTCATTGACATGATAAGTGTCTGTAACCTTTGCCACTTTGAGGCTTACAGCAGATTAACGGAATACTATTCCCAACAGAGTTACACCTAACCAACCAATCTCTTGTAGCCAATACACATACAGATAGACAAACATCTGGACTGGAGTCAGTTGTGGCCAGCACACATACAGATACAGATCTGGACTGGGTTCTTTCGTAGCTATCAGACCCATTGGAGGATCCAAGGGGAGGGTTTAGGGGTTCGAATCCCCAGCTTTGAAGTTCCTGTATCCTCCTATGAGACCTATATATAGGCAGTCTTCACTAGGGTCTGTTGTATCTACAAGACCTACAGTTTGACACAATGCCTCATTCAGGGTTTGTTTTATGTACCAGATTTACATATAGACACAGTCTCCACTAGAGTCTGTTGTATCCACCAGATCTACGTACAGAAACGAAGCCTGCTCTAGGGTCTGTTTTATCTAGCATGCCTCCAGACTGACACAGCCAGATCATGTTGTACCCAAGAATTGAGCCGATGCTGAAGGTTGTGCCAGACATCCGTATACATGCAGTTCCTGGAGCTTGGTGTCCTCCTGCATCGATATGGCAGCTGTGAGGTACAAGCCCTCTGATGTGACAGTAATGAGCTACATCTATTTCTACCAATCTCACACTCACAGGAGTGAGAAGCGTGGATGAGAAATTCAATTTTTCCCCTAATACCTCATTGTGATGCGGGCAGGCCCACAGAGGGGCAAGGGTGGGCTTGTCTTGTCTGTCAAGGAAGTCACTTGTGTCTTTTGCTGCTCATTAGCTTCCAGATGACCCACTCCGAAATCTGCCCGGAGTCACAATGTGCCTTGTTAAAAGTCTTTGTCTCCTACATCCGCTCATAGTGCTTTGCAATTCTACCGCCGTTACAGAGGCAAGGTGATAGGTGTTGGTAGTATGTTGTTTTAGTGGTGAAGTAAGAATAGAATGACACACTCAGCATGCTGGGTCTTAGTAAACCTATCAGAAATCTCTGGGAATCTTTCTTAGATATCCCGGACTTTCCATCCCAAACAAGTAAGTAAGAATAAAATGACATACTCAGTATGCCAGGTCTTAAGTAAACCTTTCTGAAATCTGAGGGAATCTTTCTTAGCTTTCCTGGACTTCCCATCCTAACCACCCCTTCCCTACTCATCCTTGCAGACTGTCAAGATAAGCACTTGTGTCTATCAGAACAAGTTATAATATCGTGGCATTGACCTACACAAACTGAACACACTGCCACACACTGTTGTAGGTTCAGCAACAACCATGCACTGCTGCCACTAATTTTGTCTCACAATGGGTTCATGTAATGGCAAAGTCGTCCCACTTCTCCTCACTTGTTAGCTTTGGTGTTAGCTTTGTCTGGTGCCTAAATCTCACGTCTTAACCTAGACCCTAGTGGTTAGGAAGACAGGATTTCCTCTTCTGGCAGCCATATTGTCTGTGGTGACTTAAC